TTGGTTCACTTGTATCCAGAGGTTTGGTTGGTACTGGCACCGGCTTGATTCTCGAATTTTCCTCTAGAGCTTCGTGCCTCAACTCATCATTGTGTGCCTCTCTCAGAAACTCTTCTACTTCTTCTTTGCCGCTGGCTAGTCTACCTGACTTCGCTTCTCCCAACAATGACTTTGTGAACCGGAACGGATCTCTGACGAACTGGGCTCTCTTGTTTGCTCTCTGCTTTCTCTGCTTCCTAACATTCTCAGCCCTTCTCAATCTACATAACCGCTCTCTCAGTTGGCACGTTAACTGCTTGATACCTTCCTTTTCGCTGGCCGGCCCTCTCTTGTACTTCTTGTTTAGTGCCTTGATTTCTCTCCTTAACTGCCGAATTTCTCTTTCCCTTCTGTTGGACTGCTTGGTAGTTTGCTGACTCTTCTTCTTCTTTTCCTCCACCCCAAACCGCTCCCTAGCTAGGTTGTACGTTATTGCGGTTAGGGACTCGACTTTACGCTCTACGGCTCCAGCTAGAGATGCTTCTAATACTTGGTTGAGGTCCGCATCTAGATGCTCCCATGCTTTCGTATCGCTCATCTTAGGCCACTTTATCCTGTCTTTAACTGGATGGGCTTGTCTCTCTGCTCTGCTAACTTGCTCACGGCTTCTGGGCTGCTGGCTTTCAATTACTGTCCTTCTCTGCGGTGAGTGCCTCCTGTGGGCTTGGGGTGACTCAGGTGCTTGGGGGTCTCCAGTACTGTGGGGTGCCTCCTGCCTAGAGTCCTCCTGCGTCTCACCAGGTTCTACCCCTGCGCGCTGCGTCTGCAGCACCCCTTGCCCACATTTGGTTTTGGCTTGATGGATCTTTAGCCCTTTACTGTTCTTGCAAATCTTTCCACAGTGGCATGTGGCCACCGACACGGTAACCTCCCCTGTTAACGTTGTTTGCATCATCCGTCTCGTTGTCCGTATTCCTTTCCGGGTTGTCAATGTTTCATCCGTTCCGACGAGTCCCTCATCCTCCCCCCCTCTCGGGTGACTCTGGGGGTATTGCTCTGTAAGTCGTACTGCAGTAATCATCCTTGTCTAAACTTGTCTAGCTCTGTTCCCTTTGGAATAATTATATTTCAGTCCATACCATGGTATGGATGAAATATATTGTGTTCTCTCATGTTTCTCCTCCTTCTCCTGCCAAACAGTCAAAGGGATTTAACTCCGCCATCATTCAGCCAAATGACTTGAAATTTGGCATGGAGGTAGAGTGGGCCAATACCCAGATGCGTTTTTTTTTCATTTTTTGATAAATGCCTTAGAAAAATTTTTATGAAGGTTTTTTGGGGCATTTTTGAAAAAAAATGGATTTTTGGATCCTGAGCCTTGGTATTACATCCAAATGATATGACATTTGGTATAAGGGTACCTTGAACATGTGTCTACAGAATAGCAGTCACGTATTTGGCATACTTCCAAAGGACTCATTTGGGGGACTTTAATGGCTATTTTCAGCAAAAAAAGGGCCAAAAGTCCTGTACCCGTTCCATGTTCTATCCAAAGAATGGCCCGTTCCATCCATGGAACACGTGTTCCATTGTGGGTTACCTGAGGTCACATTGCACCTAAGTCGTGCGTAATGACCCACACATTCAATTTTATGTGCCCATGACCTTCAAAATGTATCAAATCTCATCATTGTTAGTATTTGCATACCTGTAATAAGATTAGTAAAGCTTTCGAGATTCAAAGTACTTGTTCTTTCATCTTTGTTCTCATATAGCTACTATTTAATTCATTTATTTGAGAACCTTTGCCAGTTTTGCACTAGGGTAAGTTTGGAATAGTCCACTTTTGCGTGGGAGGGAGATGGACTGAAATATGCTGTATTTGCTCCCAGGCAAATGTCGGCCTTTCTAGTTGAATATTTTGTCTTTTACTTTGATACAGTGATGTATTTTATTCCTTTTACTTGTGATGGTGGCTGTGTACATGTGATGTTCCCTCTGAATTAAACCATGTGTACACTGATTGGCAAATTTTAAAACGTTGTTATTGTGAAAAATTGATGTTTTAATTTGAAAATTAACCCCACGTGCAAAACTTTGTCAAACGCTTTTGTTAAATCTTTCGTCAAGTGCAAGAGTGAGTTGTGAGTTGGATATGTTAAAGAATTTATTGAAAAATGAACCCCACGTGCCATGACTTTGTCAAACGCTTTTGATATATTTAGGAAGACAGCGCGTGTATCAAGTCCTTTCGTCAAGTGCAAGATGCACATTGTGAGTTGGATATGTTAAAGAATTTATTAAAAAATTAACCCCACGTGCCAGACTTTGTCAAACACTTTTGATATATTTAGGAAGACAGCGCGTGTATCAAGTCCTTCGTCAGGTGCAACATGCACATTGTGAGTTAGATATGTCACAGAATTTATTGTGAGTTGGAACTACATGCGAACGCTTGCAAATTGTTGGAAAACAACCACCTTGAACTGATAAGTAAAACAGGTTGAATAATGGCTCAGCCAAGGATGGGGCAATGTGTTTAAAGAGGAATTTGGAGGACCCAGGGTCCTCCACCAATAAAGAAACTATCCCCTAGGCCTGTGAGGATCTAGTAGCTAAATTGACCCCGCACATCCTCCCAACATCATAAATGGATTATAAGCCACGGGGTGTCTGAACCCGACTGCCAGTGGAAACAATGGGAGCAGACGACAGACAGTGATTTGCATATTAACTGACGTTTGAAGTTTTGGAAAATGTTGTATTTAATCTTCACTAGTTTTTCAACAAAACATTGCCATACAAGGAATGACAGTTGCAGCAAACCTAAACACAATCCATGTAACATTTACTTGGCAGTCGTTATACACGATAAGGGCCTACAGTTTCCAATTTGAACAATTCCAGCAGAGATGAGCCTCTGTCAAGCTTCCATGTTTGTTTCAAAAACTTATATCAGTAATCACAAATTGCACGTCTTATCCACAGCCAAACTAGATTTCTATTGATATGATAGTTGTATGTTTAACTTAACAAATATACAATGTAGAAACATGTAGAAACACATTTGGCGGCTTCTTGCATTATATTAGAATCCAAGTCTGAAATGCTGAATAGATGAAGTCCCAGTTTACCAGGATTAGCATAGTACATCCCTGTGTAGTTATTAGTGTATATTCTTGTTGTTTAGTAAAATATTATATGTACTTTTCATGTACATATCCATGTCTCCACATAATGTTGAAGAGGTGTACTTGGTATACTATCTCAGCCTAGCTCTCCCCATGTGTTCACCACGGCTGCCAGTTGCAGAATGAGCTGTGAGAGTTTACAGTACCCGAATTTATTGGGTGGTTTTATAGTCCAACCTTCCTCTTTAAGCAGTCTATTACAAATACCATCAGGCCCTGTTGCCTTACTTATGTCAAGGTTACACAGGGCTTGATACACTTCGGCAGGAGAACAAGTAATACAATCAAGAGTACACTCAGTCCTTAGTACAAATTGGGGAAGAGAGGCACCCATCGTGTTTAGGTAATCCTATACAGATCATTTCTCTCTTTACTATATTATCTACATTCTTCTCAAAGTGACACTAGTGGTCCTCTATTCTATTCAAATTACAATATTTACATAATCTTTGTTCCAGATGGGTGCTGGTATGTCCAGTTTTCAATTTGATGTGAAACTAATAATACATGCATACTGTAGGCGGAAAAGCAATATGACGCTATAAACTTCGAACTCGCAACCCTAGTAGCAAACCTAGGATGAAGGCTATTATATATGATTACATGCAACTGTTACATATCAAAATGTCAGACCTAGAATACACCCAGATACTCCTGAGATGCTGAGTAAGAAACTACTCAGTATACTTAATAGTTTTCAACTAATCTAATAAGCATATGTTTTGGTGGCTGCAAAATACAGTATCAAATTGGCCAGGCAGTATCCATTGGCCAGACTGTTAGGTGGCAAATAGATACTGCCTGGCCAATTATACTGTATATTGTAGCCATCGAAACATCTGCTTGGAGATTAGTTTTGAACTACTTTGTAGCAGTTCCCATGAGATGAGATGCTAAAAGAGCCATCCTGATTGGTGCGTCGAACTTTTGAACAGTCAACCTGTGAGAAGCCTGCCGTGTCCAGGTGTTTCCACAGTTCAGACCTGACAGTACATCCGTCAGACAGGCATGGCCAGACGACGTCTACCCAGTTCTGTTCGGAGTATACCCAGGTACCGGGGGCGGCACGGACGTGTTCCAGGTTTTATGGGGAAAATATATATATACATATTATATATTGTTATGTGGTTACGTCTTGTGGAGGATAGCAATTGATTTTAACCCCCCTGGCAGCTTTCCTTGGTACTGCATTGCTAAAGTAATCCATTTATGCAAACTTTTTTAAACTGCTACTCTGTTATTGAACTTAAAGACGCCCCCCCCCCAGCAAACCACCTGTTAAAAGCATTCAAGGCATTTCTGGGGAGAAAAACTGGAAATATTCTGAATAAGGCAATTTGTCCATATTTTCCCACTCTCATTAGCACTTTTGAATCAGTAGTTCATATTTTGAGCATTAAAAACTGCAGAAACAAGCCTCAAGATGAGTCCTTTGTTTTCTGGGTGGTACCCTTAAAATCAGCCCACAGGGCCCTTCCAGTAACCGTTTTTAGTCAGAATTATCGGTATTTCTGTCCGATGAATGTTGATAACAAGTTATACATTAGGATAGTGTTCTTTCAACTCAGTAATAAGTGACTAGTATAGACTTTGGTTTAAAATAGGGTTTACAAGCCCTAAAAACTACGTTGGATGCCTTTAACTTAAAATAGGTCGATTATCATTAAGTAGGTCACTTGTGTTTGATGGCGGCTGAGAATTGTACAGCAGTAACGTTATATCATAAGTTATCATCATAATCTACGTTACGTTTCAATTTTTTCCATACTCACTGGTTTTAGAACCCTCTTGATTTCGTCCAGCACCTTCGACTGGTCAGCCACGGAGCACATGACCAGCGTACACACGGCCGCGGAGCAGTCAGGTGCCCCCGCCATGTCCTCCCCGGCAGCGATCACAAAATCCCGCAGCTTCACCTCACCAAACTCAGTGTTTGCTATATCATATATATATTTTTTAATCAGTTATGGAAATATTCCTGTGCTGCCAAGTGACAGAGAGAACGCTTTATTTCAAGCGACCTTGTACCAACATGGTAAATATTTAACATTGCCACAGTGTACACAATGTTGTAGGGAGAACCTTGAATGCCTCGCCACTATGTGTGAACTTTTAAACCCGGTTGTTATGTAGCTTTTTATTGTGCATTTATATGGTTTAGTTTCAAAGACACGTTTACAGAAAAAGAAAAAAAATACGTATACTGAGTAGTATAATACTGCTCGCATATTAAAGCCATTTGAAATCCATTTCATTTAAAGCATATATAGAACACAAATGTCTGGTCAATTCGGTAGAGAAAAATACCAAAGCGTAGCAATAAAAGAAAGAGTGAATGAGGTGGGGGTCATTAACCTCCGGCCGAGAGCTTGTGTAACACAGGCTAGTTAAATGCATAAAACAGTCAGAATTATTATTACGCTGCGCTAAAATACCAGATAGTTACCTCACCTGTATGTATTTACAACAACTGTACAAGGTACAACGTATGGTATCTACTGGCATATAATACAGGTAAGGCTAATATATACAAGAGCGCGTATCCAGTATATGGGATGAGAACAGGCTTTTGCAATTATTGCATACATTTCTAACGGCTAGACGTTCTCTAAATCTACAGGAAGGGTACTAAGGCGTCTTTGCTCCGCCGTTTGGCCCGTCCGGCCGTTCTGTTACCTGTTGGCGTTCCTCTTGGTCTCTACAACTTCGCCAAACTCAACCCTGACGCGGCAACAGCCTACTACAAGCGCGCCTTCGCCTGGGCCTGCGCCAGAACCATGGACTTCAGCGAGAAGAAGCTAACAGAACTCAAGCAGGAGGTCTTTGTCGGTCTTAGGGAACAGGACACGGGTGCTTTACAAGTTTTGGAGATCGGGGTTGGAGGTGGAAACAACTTTAGATACTACCCTCCTGGAACCTCCGTCGTCGCCGTGGACCCAAACCCTCACTTTGACCAGTATCTTAAAGAAAACTCGGACAAGTACCCGGATGTCAAGGTCAGAGGCTTTCAAATTTATGATGTTAACCGAAGGAAAACATATTGTTTTTGCTCTGTTTCTTCTGCTTCTCCATGCAAATAAGGTCAATGACCTAAGCCAGACGCCTGTCACCATGGTCACTAGTGTTGGGTTACATAATGTTGCAATTTTATAGCAGAAGGGATTTTGCACATTATGCATTTGCTTGGCAAATGTTACCTTTCTAGTTTTTTTATGTTTACTTTTCGCGCGAATGACAGTTTCACAGATAAAAAATTCAGTCATTTTTTGTTATATTTTCCGTCCGATTTTTATTCAGGGTTCCCAGCTCAGTGACTAACATTGCTTTAGAGTGGGACCCCGCATCATACATGAAAACATCAATAAATAGAAAATACAAAATTCATAGCTTACTGTTATGGTTTCATAAGATATCCTAAACGTTCACGTCTGCAGTAAATTAAATAACGCGTTGATTTTGATCGTCACCAGGTGACGAAGTTCATAGTCGCGGGGGCAGAAGACATGTCTGCGGTGGCGGAGGGATCTGTGGACGCTGTGGTGTGTACTTTGGTCCTGTGCTCCGTCCAAGACATGGACGCCTCAATCCGAGAGGTCAAGAGAGTTCTCAAACCGGTAAACTTTTGCTTAAATAAATGTTCTATTTCCGATGTGTAATAAAATAAAAATTAGGTAAGATAAGTTGTGTGTTATATTGTTTCCCTATTGTTGTCAATGCATTTATTATGTCTACCTTCGTAGAAGGAAAACATTGATTTTGGTCTGTTTCTTCTTCCTCTTCTTCTGCAAACAAATAAGGTCAATGACCTGAACCAGACATCTGTCACCAGGGAAACTAGCAGTGTTGAGTAACATCATGTTACAATTTTACATCATATATATGTCATCATATATATGTGTTTGAGTAAGAATTAACAGAGCAGACCATCTGCAAATGTGTTTTCTACATATTTTCCTAGTGCCTGTGTGTTGTGTTGTGACTCAGGAAGAATAGCTACTGTCGACATGTACACGAATGTAAATTATACAAATATATCCTCCATCCTAACCAAAGCTTTAACTTCTAGACAACGACAACGGACATGCTTGGACAGTTATGCTTGGTCAAGTTGGTGTATTCTCTACCAGCCATGACGAAAAAATGACTTCCACTTAAAAAGGATGACACTGTGACGTCATTATCTGTAAAAGCTAAATGGTTTAGTCCATGAGTGCTTCACAGGGAGAGGCAGGATTGTTGTGTTCTTTTTTAATTATGAAAAAAGTGGGAGAAACCACTCGGAATGCGTTCCCTTCCTCCGGCCCATCCATAAGAGGGGGGGGGGGGAACGGTCATCAATGGCCGGGAGCCCGGAGCCCCAGGGGCTCCACTCCCGGCCAACTTCGCGCTCAGAAGGGAACGCTACCGCTCGTCATCGTGACTTCTGCGTGCGTTCACGTTTCCGTGAGAATGCATGGGATACACACTATAGAAATGATCCCTAAAAGTATGATCTTGGAGTGTTGCTGTTTCGTACGTAAATAGGTATCAAACGCTTCAACGCATTGTGAACGGTTAAATTGTACCCAAACATTTGAGTTTATATTCGTGCATAAAAGTGGAAAAGGGGACAAACTTATGATCACAGTAGATAAAAACATTGAAATCAATTACTCATAAAAAGTGCTTTACTTTATTTCTTCAACATTTGCAGTTATTGAACAATAATATTCTAAATTATCAGTATACATAGGTATTTAGTTGTGTTGCATCACGGGAGAGCGGGAAGTTTAAAGCGTCAAAATAAACACCATTGTATTCGCCCTGTTTTTTTCCAGCACGTGTGTGATGGTGTGATGAAGATGAGTAGCTGACGGTAAACTCAAGAAGCAGTGTACGAGCCAAATATGTAGTGTTTGAGTTTGGGTTTTATCCAGATCCACAATTAGCCTCAAAAAAGACTATTCTTCCTGTGGTCGACACATTTCAATCAATGTGGTAAATCTTCATAAACTAAAAAAAATTGAAATAAAGACTGTGTTTAAGTAAGTATCAAGTTATCGGCCGATGGGAAACACGTTGAGGATGCCTGGTTGACTGAGGTCAAGTATACAGGATAGAGGGAAACCTCAGGCTCAAGTTCATGACGCGGATTCTGTACGGTTATCCTTTTTAAACAATTCGCATTGATTTTTCTGTAGAAAAGGACAGAAACAACGAGGGTCTTTTCAGTAAAAAAACGACAGAATATAGAGATAATGTGATCATAATAGATCAACAATAGTAACAGAATTTCAGAAAGTCTAGAATGATAATAAAAAATTCGTGGCGTCGGGAGGTGTAGTGGTAGATCATTCGACTGTGAACCGGGAGACCTGGGTTCTAACCCGAGTCGTACCCGGGACATGTTTGGACATGCGCCCGACGTTGTGCCTTTGGGAAAGACACTTAACACGACTTTCCTCACCCAGGTGTGAATGGGTACCTAACTTCGGTTGGGGAAAGTCGTATTGAGGTCACCTTGTGGCGCCGAATGGCAGCCGCACCTTGCGACAGTTCCACAAAAATTGTGGAGAAAATATTTGTGTTATCATGTGTATTACTTGTTTGTTGTGATTTGTATTGATTATTATGTGATACCCTGCATACATTCAGCCGTTACAGGCTGCGACTGCACGGGTACTGGACAATAAAAAAAAATTAAATTCAAAAAGCTGTAGACGTGCCTTTATTATTATGCCTGCACTCATATTATTCAAAATAGCAAAATTTAACAAAACATAAATCTTCTGCTGATGAATGCTCTTACCTCATTAATGAAAGTGCCAGTAGTAACAGGATCTCCATCAATAAGGATATAACAATTGGTGAATATCTTCTTTTTTTCTACAGTACCATGGGGGGGGGCTTACATTGTTAGCTGTTACTGTTATTACCACGCAACTGATTTATAAAACTAGTTAGTTTAATAGTCTGCGTGTCAGGGAGCAATTTTCTCGTACCTCTTGTCCATTAGCAACAATTATTGTGTAGTAATTGCTGAATGCATGAAAATGTCACTTAAAGTTATTCGTCTGGGAAATTCATAACGTATAGTGCCCGGAACCTGTTGCACTGCTTACAGACAGTGGTACTTTTACGTATATACCAAAAATTATCTTTAAAACGACGAAAACATTTTCCTTAGCTGACCGAGATCTTATCCAGTTTGCTTACAGATCTGCGTTTCAAGGGTACCAACAAAAGGTATGTGACATGTAGTGTTTCAAGGAGCTTCCATTCGTGTTTTGGATGAAAGGTTGACATACGAGTGGGCGGTATGTAGGAGGTGGGAAGGAAAGCGCAGCCATGTTGTTTTTGCTCCTCTTGACAGCTGTCTGTGCAGATTCAAGGGGTCAGCGTTCTTCTCAGTGTTACAGAACTGATAACGGGCGGGAGTGTGTGCCTTTCACAGGCAAGCCGGTTTTAAACTTTTACCATCCTACAGGTTTATGTGTCGTGTGTAAGGTCCAGAATCGGGATGGTGCTTCTACAAGTCCTTTCCCTTTTCTTGCTGGAAAAATGGCTGTGGCAATAAGAGGATACCCATTCCACAAACTTTCGGCCGAGAAACTGGCAAAGCTTGAGCGATCGGAGGTCGACACCTTAGCTTTGATAGACGCACAGATCGTTGATGTGAAGAACAACACTTTCTCTGATTTTTCCCAGGCTTAGACGTTTGAGTCTAGATTCTAACAGGCTGACAAATGTCAAGCGGCCTGGTTCACGGGTTTAGA